TGGCTGGGGAATTCTGGGAGTTGAAGTCCACACATCTTAAAGTTGCAGAGGTTGAGAAACACTGCACTACAGTATTGATACATTTTCTCTCTTCTTTACAAACTGAGAGGTAGTAGTTTTAAAAGAAAGTTCAGCTGCCAAATTTCTTACTGAATGTAAAACTAAAGCCATCCTTTTCAGTTTCAGAAGTTTGTAATCTTTGATGCAGAAAATAAACAGCTCCGGCTGTTAAAACAGTGCTGGGGAACCTGTGGCTCTTTGTATGTTGCTGAACCCCAATTCCCAGCAGCTCCAGGGTCACAGGTTTCCTATCCATGCATGAAAGTGAGTAATTGGAAGGCTGGGGATTATGCGGATGTGAAAACGACCAGCTCGTTGTATATTCTATCCTGATGCTATGCTAGCCTCTGTATAAATGCATATCCATGCAGTTTTTCTGCAGTTTTTCCCAGCTCTAAAACTTCCTGCAAATTCCTCTTTTTTACTGCTTGGATTGGCAAACCTTCCTTAACTTTTAATCTTCTTTACCTGCCCCAAGGAACTTTAAATTAGTGTTACAGCCCCATTTAGATTAATTATGACTTCCATAATTTAGAATGAAGATTTTGAATTTTAGCAATTCCTACATTCAAACAAAAAAAGCAACCATATGTATTATTCTGGCCCAGTTTTCCAACTTATTTATAGGACATAAAGATATTTAAAGAGGGGAAAAGAAAGTAAATGAGGGGTAATTTTTGAAATAATATGTTTTAAAAGTTGACTTTATTTTAGCTCAGGGGAGAAGAAAGTAAATTCATGAGTTTTGAATCTGAAAGCAGGGACTCTGCAACAAATCCACAATCACACAGAATCCTGCACATGCAGTGCTAATGTCAAGTTATCATATCATAGACAAGCAGAAGAGACAGTATCAATCATCCTGATAACTGGATTAAAGAGAAGAGAAAACAGTGAGGTATGTGAATGCTATCAAATTGATTATCTTCTCATCCAAGAAGTCCAAAATGATTAATCCTGAGACAAGAAGGACTGCAAGATGCAAGAAGGAGGAGTTTTTCTCCCTTACCAGGCGGTCACTGCAAGAAAAGTCTTTCTTCTTCTGCCCAGGGGCCCAGTTTGCTGGACGCCCAGCAGCATCTATGGAGGGGAAGAAAGACATGAACACATCCATTGCCATGAGGTGGGAAACTGATCACCATATATCAGTAATAACTTTGAGAACTGGGCTTTGAACACTGAGGGCCCTAGGAAGGATCATTGGCCAGGAGAGCAAAAGTAGATTCTGGGAGTGAGTCAAGTCCATTCTTCTACTGTTATGTCAAACGCCTTCCTTTGTGTTTGACTCACCTCCCACGTAGACACTTTCTTGCAAAGACACTGCTAAGCCACCGTTTGCCTTGAAAGAAAGGGGAGAGAAAGGGAAAGTCCAGACACGGAATAGCAGAGTACGCTCCTTCCCAGCCCTCTTCATACACACACCCTCATTTAGTACCTTCTTGCACAGATGATCCCACATACCAAGGACAGGTTTGCGGTACATTCCTGAACCGGTTGCCACAAAGACCTGCAGAGAAAGGGAGGCAATAGAAGTGAGTGATCCAGCTGGTGGTACATCCCATCCAGAAACCGACTCTCATATTTAGCAATTACTATTTACGTCACAGTCCATGATCTGGGTTAGTCAGTCTATTCCCAACTGATGAATCCCACTCAGTTCCTCACAGGTGACGCTGGTGAATGAGGAGTTGGAACATTTCTGCGAGATTACCCATTTGAAATACCCGATTCATTCTGATCATCTCAAAATGACGGTATAGTTACAGAAACTGCAAGAGACCACAGGTGCACTAGCGGCAAGTAGACAACTTTTGAAGGAAGGAGCAAAGCAGCCATTCATCTTCGCGTAGAGCCAATGGCTTCTTTTTTCTTTGATGCAACCAGAATAAAGGATGTAGATGGACACAGCTTGGAGAGACAAGAAACCTCCCCTGAATTGCTAAATGCAATTCCTCATAGAATCAAATGGTCTACCTGAAAATATTTGTACCCCAGTTTTCCATTAAATCCTAATGGATCTACAAGACAACTTAATAACAAAATAAAAACTATACAATTAAAGATATATAATGGAACGAAAGCACATGACAGCAGTATGAAAATACCATGCAAAGTAAAACATACCAAAATTAGCTACAGAATACTGGTTTCTTACTACCTTTAAACTTTCTCTGACATAGATTTCCCTAATTTGCACTCCCCTGCCAAGGGTTAGGGATTATGGGAGTTGTAAATTCAACCCATCTAAAATACTATAGAGCTGTCATAATCTGCTGCTTGAGTTCCTAATTAGAGAGAACCAAGCAAATCTCCCTTCCTAGAAATTGCTATAATTTAGGTGCTACAATCAAGAAACACTTGAGACATATTTGTACATTCTCTTAATCCCTACCTCCTATTTCTTTCCTTTCTGGGTCCAAATCTTGAGGCTTTATCAAAAGCATATATTCTCTTCCACATTCTCTTTATTCTATGCACCATGATATGCAACATAATAGCTATTTACCTGCTGTTAGCCATCCAGAGTCATTATGGTAAGATAGGCAGCCATATAAATGGAAAGAAATGAATAAATATTTCCTAAGGCTAACTGGGCTTTGCCATAGACATCCAAAGCCATCCCTGCTCAACTCTGTTGCTTGTTTTGCCAAGTAATCTGGGTGAAGGACTGTCTCTCCCAGCAGCTCACCTGCAACGGGACACCCAGTTGCTCAATCACAGCTTCTACTTTGGCTTTGAAAACTTCAGGCCTGAGGCGCCCACGGCCAATGCCCAGCTGGTTGGTGAAGATCACAAGCTGCCAACAGGATGGAGAAAAGGAGAGATTATTTGCAGTGAGAAGGGTGTAAGGCAGGAAGTGAATTCGAGACAAGAAGGACCATACCTTGTACCCTTCACTCTGAAGCTGCTTCAGCTTGTGAGGTACTGCAGGGTACAGGATCCTGCAAATCAGGAAAGAGTTAAGGCTGCTGTCCATACGCTCCTCGTCATATGACAGAACGCTATTATCATCACTAAACTTAGCAAAAACATGTAAACACTAATGCAGAAATACCAATCCAAGTTCCACATTTAGTCCTTTGCTCTGCAAAAGTGCTAAGTATTTCTCACTGCATTTGACTTTTCCTCATGGAAGTATAATTAATCTTCTTTTTTTAAAATCTTTTCTATATTTCTATTCTATTTGACTTGAAGGAACTCGAGGCAATGTAGTTCCCTTCTTCACCTTTTCACATCAATGAAAATCCTGGCATGTTAG